ATTTATTTATTTTGAGAGAGAGGGAGAGAGAGAGAGAGAAAGAGAGAGAGAGAGAGAGGGAGATAGAAATGAGTGGAGGAGGGACAGAGGGAGAGGGTGAGAGAGAGAATCCCAAGCAGGCTCTGCACTGTCAGTGCGGAGCCTGATGCGGGTCTCGGTCCCACTGATCACGGGATCATGACCTGAGCTGAAACCAAGAGTTGGACACTTAACTGACTGAGCCACCCAGGCGCCCCTTTATTTTTAATTTTTTGAGGAACCTTCATGCTGCCCCCATACTGGCTGCACCAGTTTACGTTCCCACCGACAGAGCCAGAGTGGACGGACATTTTAAACTCAAATGGCAGAGATGCAGTCAAGTGCATTGAGTTCACACTGCAGGTGAGGTGCTGGAACGTAAAAGCTGGATGCATGATCCTTAAGGGAGTGTTCAGGAAGGTCTGGGAGGGGGTTCTGTGGGGCGTGTGATAGGAGAGCTGGAGGTGGAAGTTTGGCTTCCTGTACACAAGAGGGCTAGAGCCTTCTAGGCAGAGGCAATACACAGATAAAGGCAAGGTCCCAGGAAATCCGTCTCCCTCCTTGAAATCAAAATGCCTGCATGTTTTAACATGAGTGCTTTTGGCTTTCCATCTCGAACTTTTATGTAATTCTGAAGAGCCTTGGCATGCTGGCTAGAGTCTCAGTGGTGGGTGAGATCCGGTGGCTTGGGGGAAAAGAAGCATTGGTGTCCTCTCGCCCTTGTGAAGCCAGCTTTCTCCCTGCGCTCCCTTCCCGCTGCTCCGCGAGCTGCTTTGCATCTGATCATCGCCATTTAATAACATTTAATGACACTCCTCTGCTGAGCTCTGTGCCAGCTACCCTTGGGACTCCAGCCTAGATGCAAGTATTAGGGAGAGGGCAGCCAAGGCCTCTAGGTTGCCAGTGAGTTGGCTGGAAATCCCATTCACGTTGGGAAACAGATTTTTAAAATAAATTTGGCCCTGGAAGCAGTGCTTTCCTTTTGTAAAGCTGTGTCAATAACCATAAACCCTCATAATCATGCTCCGCCCCCCGGCCTTCACCCGAGCTGACAAATATTTAGGCGTCAGCATATCCTCATGATGCCACCTTCTGTTGACCCTGTGGGATTCTCTTGCTGTTTGGGTTGGCCCTGGAGCACAGTCTTCTGTTTTATGTAATAAAGCACATGAGAGAAGCTCTTTGTGCGTCGCCTGTCCGCGTGGGGACCAAGCAAGAGGTCTGTCTGGTGTACCCCATCATTTTCAGGATGGTCGAAGCTAGCGAGCATTTCTGTGGCCTGGGAAATGTCTGCTAACTATCGGCAAGGGTTTTAGGCTCCAGTGCCAGTTTGCTCCAGGCCAGGATTATAGTGACCCCAGCTTCGGTTTAAGATGAAGTTTTGCAAATATATGTGTGTGGCGAGGCTCCATTTTCAAAGAAAACAAGCAATGGGTGTGATACAGGCTGATGTAATCTAGCCCTGCACAGGCTCAGTCAAGCCAACGAGGCTTACCCTTTGCAGATTGTGCCAGTAAGAGGGCAGAGTTGGTTGAGGGCTCCAGGGATACACAGAATTCTCTCTCTCTGAGAAGGTTGTTCTGACCACGTAACACAACACAGAGCCTATTTTCTGATCTATTTATTTTTTTGTTTTTGCTTTAGACTCTCAAAAGAGACAGCCACTTAACATACTTGGGCACTTAGCTGTATTATTCATATGGTTTCCCTGCCTAATTTTTTTTAACGTGGTGTTAAACGTTAGCATCAGGTGTTGGCAGCCTTACGGGGGTAACAGATTGCTTAAAAATAAACACAGCTGGAAACTGACCATGTATTGTTTTTCTTTCTTTTAAGAAATGAAAGAGGCATTTGTAGAAAGGCTGGAGAACGCAGTACTGCCCAGAATTGCTTTATAGATTTATTCTTCCAAGTCTAGTTAATGATTAACATCACGCCTTGGTGTCCAAATGGACCTACTTTCCTTCTTTCTCTGTGAAGTTGCGGTTTGCTGGGAACAATAAACTCAGAGAGCTTTGCTGCAGTCCGCACTTGAGAGGGTGGAGTCTATTCAGTTCCGCTTCCCTCTGCTGAAGTGTGGTCTTCAGCACTAAGCAAAGAATGCCTTGTATGTGGTGTTCTTCTGCGGGTCTTGCTTGCAGCCTTGAAAACCTCATCAGAGTCCCTTCTGGCCTCTTACTGGGCTCCTCCTTCAGTGATGGGCAAGTAAGTGAATTATGGAACGTTGGAGCATGTGTCTGTGATTTTTGTTTTATTTGATGCACTCTTGGAAATGAAGGCGGGGTATATACTAACCGCGTAATTCAACTAGCTTTTGTGTCCCCACAACTGTTTTGCTTGCTGCTGTCAGAGAAGAAAGAGCCTCCTTTTCTCACACCTTGAAGACTTTATTTTTGTTGCGCTCACTTATTCCTTTGGTCTCTGTGCCCAAAGGTTGCTCTCTCTTTCTCTCTTTTACTCTTTTCTTTGTATAGACGTTTCAATGATTTGTTGACTTAGGATAATGAATTGCTAATAATTAATTGCTGTGGTAGAATGATTCCTTGCTGTATTTGTTTTTCAAAGGCAGTTTGTCCCATAAATAGCTCTCTCAATGTCTATCTTGTAAGAGCTGAGTAAGAAATGAAGAAGAGAGATGTAAGAATTTCAGAGTAGCTTTTGCATTTGGTTTGCTTACATGGCAATGGGGGAGCCTTTTTCGCCAGTAAAATATATTTTACTTTTGCTCTATTTTGTTTTAGCTGCAAGGACTACAGTGTTGTAGCTTCTGGGATGATCTGAATTACCTGTCTGTCACCTGTGCTGGAGTATAGATGTAGTTATCTGGACAAATGGAATTTGCCGTTCATTCCCCGCCGGAGTATCCCGTTTAAAATAGCAATCCTTATCTATTTGACTGAGGCCCATGGATAGGAATTGTTGGAATTAGGCCATACATCGATTTGGATTTTCACCGTCAGATCCAGCTACTTAACATTCCTCATATACAGCACAGCTCTGTGAATTGTCTATCCAATTCGATGCATTGCCTAACTGACTTAGTAACACGTGCGAAGCAGCCATCTGAACTCCAGGAGGAGGAAAGTGAATAGTGAGTTTTGGATCTTATAAAACACACAGGTGAGCCCAAAGGATGAGAGAGTTCAGAGGACTTGTTACAATGAAGGTGGATCTAAAAGACTTTCTCTGTGTTGACTATTGCCATGCATATTTTTTCTTGGCTTTATACAACTTGGCAGAATTGATCTTCATTTTGGAGTTTGAAGGCATAGAGGGGGAAAAAAAGACTCAATTACACATTATCTTGGGCTGTGACAATCTGATCAATTGTGTTTATGAGTTTCCAAAATGATTTTTTTAGATGTTTATTTATTTTGAGACAGAAAGAGTGTGAGCAGGGGAGGGGCAGAGAGGGAGAGAGAGAATCCCAAGCAGGCTCTGTACTGTCAATGCAGAGCTCGATGCATGGCTTGATCCCGTGAACCGTGAGATCATGACCTGAGCCGAAATCAGGAGTCAGATGCTTAACTGACTGAGCCACCCAGGTGCCCCTTAAATGGCTCATTTTTTTTAAAGGAGACTATACAGATTCTTTCTCTAAGTGATTATAATTAACAGCTACTTAAGATATGTCTGTGTTCTTTCATATGTGATGCCTCATGGTTCTCATATCCAGCCCAGTTGAGGTAGGTATTGGTATTATTTCCCCATTTTACAGTTGAGGATATTGAAAGTCAGGTGAAAAGTGATTCTGGAGGTCACTTGGTGAGTGAAGTACCAGATGTGAGCTGAGTTTTTAAAAGCTCCTAATCCCGTGTTGCCCTGCCCCAGTCTCTCCCATCATCTCTATACTCCTTCCATTGTAGACCAAGGGAATGAGCTCTAGTCTGGATGGTGGAGACCTGGATTCTGATTCTGACTGGGTCATTGCTGGCTCTGTGATGGTGAGCAGTCATGGAGGTCTTTGGATGTGATTTTCCTGCCAGGAGGTTATATTACTTGATGTCTTAAGTTTCTTTGCATCTTGAGAGTCTCTATCCAGGGCCTTGTCCAGGGCGCCTGTGTCATTGCTGTAGTGTAGAGTGGGAAGGGGAGAGGGGAGAAGGAATGGAGGACCATGGGTATTTGATCCAGCTCTGTTCTGGTTTCTCCTACCAAGCAGGAAGAGACACAGGATCTCCTTAGGTGAGGAAAACCTTGGACCCATAAGAGGCTGTTTTCTCTGATCTGCCTCCTGAGCTGGCATTTCTCAGTCTGCTCTTTTTCTTTATTCATCAATGACAATGATCCAAGCCAAAGTGTCTGTAGTTTCAGCCCAGGGATGAACACATGGGTTACATTCCCACCTGGCCCCCAAAGGGTCGATAGCCTCTGCATGAGCGCATCTGTTATCTTATTCCTTTTTGGAACAGGGTAAATGTAAATAAATATTACTTTCTCCATCTTTTAGATGTTTCAGCTTATATGGAAAGTGGTTGAGAAATGGGCAAGCCAGAAGTGTGGGAATGTATTGTTTTTCTACCTCCATAGTTGACTCTATCAGATATTTACAGATCAAGTTAGAAAGTTATAAGATACTGAGACAAGGGTGACTGTCATTAAAAAGGAAAAAAATCTGTATTTGACACCATCTACCATTACCATCGTTGTGTATGAGAAAGAATGAAGAACTTAGAGTGACCACCTCTCAGCAGGGAGGAAAGGTCAGGTCTTCCTGGGTAAAGAGAGTTAGCATTCTCATAAGGATGTTTTCAGCTGTAAGTGGTGGAAAACTTCATCCACGACCACAGAGCATTTGGGAAGCTGTGTTCTGCCTGTGGGGACGTCACCCACAGGCTCCCTTGGTGGGAAGTGGGGCTCTCTGAGTGGGGAGATGAGAGCTACACGTTCCCAGGCTAGCCCTTTTCTTTTGCTGCAGTCTCTGTCCCCACTCTCATGCTGTAACTTAGACCTTAATTTTATCCTTATGTCTTTTCCCATAGGCAGGAAGCGAAACCCTGGCCTTAAAATTCCGAAAGAAGCATTTGAACAGCCTCAGACCAGTTCCACGTAAGTTGGCAAGATCACCATCTTAATCCAAACACTCCGCTTTACAGATTTCCGGGGAATGGGGGTTCATTTCTGGACTGGTGAGCATCGCCTTGATTATGGAAACTGTTGTTAGAAAGAGCCCTTTAAAGGGGAAAGCCATGTGCTCAACTATTCTGAGACCTGGAATAGGTCAGTCAGTCTATATCGAATAGGTCACTTTGAACTCAATGTCTCACATTACTGGTTGGCAGAAAACTGAGTGTCACAAATGTATTTGGCAGATGTGGTCTTATGAAAGGTCCCGGGACATGCACTTTTTACCTCTTCCATATAGACTTGGGCAAAACAAGCAAATCCCTGTGCGAGCCACTACTGTAAAACATGAGTTGAGATGGAAAGATGGTATTTGGTAGGGACTCAGCATCTTGACACCTAAATCCTGTCCCATGTAAATAGAAGGCAAAATGAGGTAAAGGAACTTTTTTTTTTTTTTAATTAGCAGAAGCTTTGGCCCAAATCCCTAAGTGAGCTCAAGTCCTGATGAAGCAGGATCCTCTGTCCCTTTGCCTTCCACTTACTTCTTTTTCACTCTGTGGGGTGGTGAGAGTACCCTCTTGTCCAGCTGGAGGTATGACCGTCTTAAAAAGCCTCTGCTTGGGAGGAATAGAAATTGCAAGGAAAAAAGTCATAACAGGAGCACTAGAAGAAGAAGAGCAAGCATAAAGAAAGGTCATCTCAATGGAAGCTTGAGTTTGCAAGGCCTTTGTTCATCTCTACAAAGGTGCCTCCCTTTCATAAGGGTTTTGGACTTAAACATGACCCATCCTATAAGTAAGTGCACCTTCTGGTGTTGAAATGTGCTGGTAAAAATGATCATGTCCACTGTAAGACTTTGTTGAGGCCATTGGCCATTGCATTCCATTGAAGAATCTCCTCAGTGCGGAGCGGAGTGGGTTCTACACCATAACTCAATGGTCAAGCTCATATTATACTGTTCCTTTTGTGAGGCTTTGCAGGAAGAGGTACTTTCCATATCTGCTATTGAGATTGCTTCCTTTGGTCTTTTTTTTTCCCTCTGTGGACCTAAGACCTGTGTAATTAATAACTTTTTCTCTCTGATTGGTTTCTAGAGAGTTTAGAGTCAAATATAATGTTCTCCTGTACTATCTGAATAGGACCCCATGTGATACACTTTTAGAACTTTTCATCTTGAAACTATTACAGATTCACAGGAGATTATACAGAAATGTACAGGGAAGTCCCATGTACCCTTCCCCTAGTTTGTCCACACCCCCCCCATGTCAACATCTTACACAACACAATATCAAAATGATTTGCGTTGGTGCAAATCATAGAACTTATCGAGATTTCACCAGTACTGCACATACTTGTTTGTGTGTGTGTGTGTGTATGTGTGTGTGTGTGTGTGTGTGTATAGCTCTGTGCAATTTTATCACATCTGTTGACTTATGTAACCACAACCATAAGCAAGATACTCAACGATAGCAACACTACACAACTCTTTGGTGTCATTCCCTTAAAGCCACGTCCACCTCTAACCCCCAGCCCTAATCTCTGGCAACCACAAACCCGCTCCCCATTTCCGTTTTGCTGTTGCATGGTTGTGACATAAATGGCATCATGCATCTCCTCCTATTTGAGGTGGACTTTTCCAATCAGCATAGTTTCCTTGAGGTTCATTCAAGTTGTTGCATGTATCAATAATTCATTCCTTGTTACTGCTGAATCCATTCGATGGTATGGATATGCCACAGTATTTTAACACTTCAGCTTTTGAAGGAGATATGGGTAGTTTCCAGTTCGGGGCTGTTAACAATGAAAACAATTTCCTGCATGAAAATAAGTCTTCATTTCCATGAGACCTGTGTCCAATAGTGCAACTGCTGGGTCATATGGTAAGTCTGTTTTTAGCTTTGAAACAACTTCCAAAGTACTTTCCGGAGTCATTGTACCATTTTACATTATTAGCAATTTATGAATAATCCAGCTTCTCTACCTCCCTGCCAACATTAATACTATTTTCCATTTTTGCCATTCTGATAGATGTATAGTGATATAGCACTGCAGTTCTGATTTTCATTTCTTTAATGGTGAATGATGCTGAGTATTTTTAGGTATTTGCTTTTCATCCATGTATCTTCGCTGGTGAAATGTCTGTGCACATCTTTGCCTATTCCCTAATTAGTTTGCTTTTTTAATGTTGAATTTTGAGAGTTCTTTCTACATTCTAGACACAAGGAGTTTGTCAGGTATGTGATTTCAAAGCATTTTCTCCCAATTTGTCTCTTCATCCTTTTATATTGATGAAATCCAGTCTAGCAATTTTTCTTCTTAGGGATCATGCTTTTGGTGACAATTTTAAGAACACTTTGCCTCACACTTTGTTCTTGTTTTTCAAAAATAATTTTGGCTATTCTAGTGCTTTTCTGTTTCATTTTAGTTTTATTTATTTTATTTTATTTTTCCATATTAGTTTGAGATCAGCTTGTCTGCTTCTACAAATAAACCTGCTGAAATTTTGGTAGAAATTGTGTGTAACCTATAAATCAATTTAGAGACAATGGACATCTTTACTAACTTGAATCTCCTAATCCGTAAGCCTGGTAGATTTTGTAAGTATCAAGATTTTCTTTGATTTCATTCATCAGTATTTTATAGTTTCATCATACAGATTCTCTACATTAGGGTTTAAAAAAATATTTATTTATTTATTTATTTATTTATTTAGAGAGTGAGCAGAGGAGAGACAGAGAGAGAAGGAGGGAGGGGATCCCAAGTAGGCTTTGTGTTGTCAGTACAGAGCAATGAGGGGCTCGAACTCACAAACTGTGAGATCGTGACCTGAGCTGAAATCAAGAGTTGGACACTTAACTGACTACATTAGGCATTCCTACATTAGGGTTTGTTAACATTTATACCCAAGTATTTCATTTTGTGGAGAACAACTATAAATGATACTCCGTTTAAAATTTTGGTTTCCACTTGTTAAGTGTCAGTATATAGAAACACAATAGATTTTTCTGTCTTGATATTGTATCCTGTAACCATACTGAATTCACTTAATTATTCTGGGAGTTTTTGTAGATTATTATTATTATTATTTGCATATACTTGTAGATATTACTTGCATATATCTGTAGATACTTTACAGCTTTCTTTTTTTAATTTTTTTTAATGTCTTTATTTTGAGAGACAGAGAGTGAGCGGGGGAGGGGCGTAGAGAGGGAGACACAGAATCTGAAGCAGGTTCCAGGTTCTGAGCTGTCAGCACAGAGCCTGATGTGGGGCTTGAAGCCACGAACTGTGAGATCATGACCTTAGCTGAAGTCTGATGCTTAACCGGCTAAGCCACCCAGGCGCCCCAAGAGCTTTCGATGTAGATGATTGTGCCTTCTGGAAATAGAGACAGTTTTCTCTCTTCCTTTCCAAACTGTATTTTTAAAACGTTTATTATTATTTTTATTATTGGCTTTGTCTCAGTGGCAAGAATGTCTCGTGCTGTGTCACGTAAGATTGATGACAGCAGGCAACTGTGCTTCGTTCTTAGAGGGAAAGCGATCAGTCTTTTACCATGAAGCACGATGGTAGGTTTTTGTAGATTGAGGTTTGAAAAAGTTCCTCTTTGATTGTAGGGTACTGCAGGTTTTTATCATTAATGTTTTTTGAATTTTGGTAAGTGCTCTTTTCTGCATCACTTGACAGGATCATAGATTTTTCTTCTTTGTACTGTTGATGTGGATTACATTGTGATTGATATTTAAATATTGAACTAGCTTTGCATACCCCAAATAAATTCCACTTAGTTATGCTACTTTATTATTTTTTTATACATTGTGGGTTTCAATCTGCTGAAATTTTGTTGAGAAGTTTTGTGTCTAAGTTCATGAGAGATGTTGGTCCATAGTGGGCTGTTTTGAGTTTCTTTTCTTTTCTTTTTTTTTTTTTTTGGTGTGTGCTATTATTTTCTAATTTTGATAGTAAGGTAATATTGGCCTCATAAAGTGAATTGGTAAGAGTTTCTTCTTTTTTTTTCTGGTAGACACATAAAATCTGTGAAACAAAATTAGCTGACATATTTCTTTTTCTGGAGCTTTTAAAATACAAATTCAATTTCTGTTGTAGTTATAGAACTATTCAGATGACCTGTTTCATCATGGCTAAGTTTTGGCAGTTGGTGGTTTTCAAGGAAAACCATTTCTTTTAAGTTGTTGAGTTTATAAGAGTAAAGTTGCTCATAGTACTTCTGGATTATTCTTTGAATGGCTGCAGGATATATTGTGATATCCCCTGATTTTTCCCTGAGATTGGTAATTTGTGTGTTCTCTCTTGTCAGTCTTGCTAGAGGTGTATCAATATTATTGTTGGTCTTTTTTAAGAATTAACTTTGTTATTTTATTTTATTTTTGAATTCTCAATTTTACTGATTTCTGCCTTTATTTTTATTATGGTTTGGTAATACATTTTTATATCAGGCTCCCAACTGTCTTACATTCCTTCCGTTCAAATTTTTAGTATTCATTTGTTTCTAATTGGTATTAATTGTCTGTATTTCATGAATTTTTGAAAGCCATCGTAAATCCTTCCTTGGTATAAACAAATGAATAAAAACCTACGTAATGTTACACGTAGTTTCTGTGTCATCTTTCCCTCATGGGGTAGGATAAACTTGGAATATGATTTTCCTTTCTGCTGTGTAAAGCCAAGAGTATCACTTTATTATTGTAGACAATAGCACGTAAGCTCATGGAGAGCCTATTATTATTATTATTATTTTCATACTGATGCTTAAATTTGTACTCCTAAAGAAGTAGCTTCCACATTTTGTGTTTTTCTTGGCAATGTTTTGAGGTTGGCTTGGTGACTCTTACCATTTATACCGTGCCTTCTTCTGCAGTACCACACAAAAATAAATATCCTGGGACAGAACTCATTCCATGTGTGTGGTCCCTCTGCTGGCACTCTTTCTTTGAGTAACTGATGCCAGTGTGTCTTTGGCT